TGTGCCTAAGGAGAGTCACATGGAGAGAAAACATTCTCTCAGGCTTTCACAGAAAGCACATTGGCCAAGCAATGGCCGTGACTCATCCACATGGCTGACACTGACAAAGGTTCTACAATCTGGGGTATAGGGTCTCAGGATAAATCTTGAGTGGATTTGACTGGCTTATCAGATCCAAAAGCTACAACTCTTGTTGCATAGGTCTTGCTTTATCTTGGTCTTAACCATCCAGCAGAAAAGTATAAAAACGAAGTATAAGAAGTAAAGCCATGTTATTATGTTGAGCTGTAGGGGACTCAGGTCAACAATTTCTGACACTGTCAGTCAAGAGGAAGACCCAATACTATTATGGATTACTGAACTCTTTTAGAATATTTTTGCTGAGTTCACACACCTACAATATTCAAATGACAGAACTAAACAAAAAAGGGGATATATAAATGAATGTCCATTTTATATCTGTGTATTCAAAATGGTTAGGATAGATATATAGTTACATTCTCTTAATGAATAGAGAGATTTGTTGTAATAGTGTTTGTAAATAGGATATCATGTCTGCATCTTGTACAGCAAATAACCACTAGGAAGAGAATATGCAATGCGTTAATCATTGAAACTGTCCTACCAATTTCATTTGAAGCTGTCTCATTGCTATTTGTCTGTCAATAAAATCATGGAAAAAAAATAGAAAAGAAAAGAAAAAAAATAAATAAAAGTGATTAGTACTTTAAAAGAAAATATTGAAGGAAATGAATCTGGTACTGAATTCCAGATTACAAAAGAATCTGCTCGTTCAATCAGTGATTTAGGTTTTTGTTGTTGTTGGCTTGTTGGGAAGGGGTGGCTGTTTTGGTTTGTGTGGCTGAGTGTGTGCGTGTGTGACAGAGAGGCGAGAGGGGAGAGGAACACTGGGGACTGAACTCTTGCATTGAAATATATCCTTAGTTGTCTTTTTGCGACAGGATCTCACTATGCAGTTCGGGATGTCCTTGAGCTCACTATATAGCCCAGGCTGGTCTTGAACTCCCAACAATCCTCCTGCCTCAGCCTCCTGAGTGCTGGGATATATATCCTTAGTCTTTTTTTTTTTTTTTTGACAAATTCTCAGTAATTTGCTAAATTGCCCAGGCAGGGCTCAAACCTGCCTCAGCCTCGCCAAGAGCTGGTATCCTAGGCTCCGCCACCCCCGCGGCCTCAGCGAGGTCATGTGTGTTAGGGGCTGCTCTCGGTGAGCCCAGAGGTCCAATTCCAGGAACAGGGTCGGGGAGACAAAAAGTGCCAGCTCTCGCGTCCCGACCTCGCCACTGGGAGTCCCGGTAAAATGCAGAGAAGAGGTATACGCATGCGTTATAGCAGACAGTAAACGCAGGAAACGGTGAGGGTCGTACAGTGACGCGGGACAGAAGCAGCAGGATTGTAGACCGCAACAGGACCCACCTGGACATAAGGCACAGCCCAGGCCGGCAGAGGAGCTGGGCTGTGGGAGAGAAGTGGGGCACAACCGAGGGGGGCTCATGAGCCCGGGCCCCTCTTGCAGGCAAGGACAGGCAACAGCTATGAGCGCACAACAAAGGCCTTTGTCGCGCCACACGTGGCCGGAATGCTCCTCTCCACCTGTGAACCCTAAACAAATTCCGTGCTGCCGATTTACAAACTCGGGGTGCTTTCCCCCAGGAGACCGCCCAAGAAGTCCTTGGCCCTTGAGCTTTTGTCGACCTCTACCGCCATCTGCCGACTGTAGGTGGTACACCCGCGCCATGGTCTACGCTGTAGTTGGCTTTATTGAAAACCAGGTTGGGTTTTACCAGAATCCTGACACTTCCTCTAAGGGTCCCAGACATAACAGATTCAGACAGACCACACGCTTAACTTCACAATATACACAGAGATGCGCCTTAGGACTCATCCTTAAGACAGAGATATCCCTCAGGGCTTATACTTCCCAATATCAGCCCCACTCACTAAGCCCCAGGATGAACATTTGAAACACTCCTACTAAAAAGTAATATAATTGGGGCTGGTGAGATGGCTCAGTGGTCTAAAGCACCTACTTAAAACAAGCTTAGCAAAGCACAGGGACTGCGGTTCAATCCCCCAG